AAGAGCTGTGAGAAAAAGCTATAAATAATTACATACACACAGAATTTACAGGTCACCTTTTCTCTGGCTAGCATTTATTTTCTCAACATTTTTCTGGGAAATTCAGCATTACTTAATGCAAATTAAATGAATTGTTCTAAAGGGGGCTATTTGAAGGCAAAAAATAGGATCACCGGATCTTTCTTTTCAGACATTGGTTCAGTCAGATAGGAGTATCTACTGAGAAAAATGATTGACAGTTTACGCTCTCATTTAGACAAGTTGTTTAACCATTCTTAGCTCCAATTTCTGAACTTATAAAATATTCCTGATGACACCTTTCATGTAGCGCTGAGATTAAATGCATACCGGAAATTCATTTTTAAAAGTGCCTGCCATGCAGTCAGGACAGAAGGGATTATTTTTACATAAAGGACTTTGTAATGACTTAACAAAAGTAGTCTTCCAAACTATTGCATTTACATTATCTCTACAGCTTTTCCAAACAAAAATGTGACATCATTTGCCACTTGGGTAAACAAATTTGATGCAGCTTTGCTTTAGGAATTTACTGATATCTGATTTCCACTTTTCACTCCAAGGTTCAGAGACTACGCATGTATTTTCAGTTTCACGAATTTCATGTCCTTAAAGAACTTCCTCTAAATGAAGTAATATGCTAACTGTTGTTACCGCAACCAAAGTACATATAGAAGAGACTGCCCAGCATGCTTAAACACCCCTCATATACTGCTTACAGTTACCTGCAGGCTGCATCCTCCTGAAATACGAGCTCCATGAACATATAGGTTGTGTCTAATTTTCCATATTTGACTCCTAGAATGGTGTTTAACACATATTTAGGAATAAAAAAATGGAGAGATCAATCATACACACAAATAACAGGAACATCATACAAACTATAACAACTCCCTTACAGGTAGTGAATGCTACAGATGATGAGAGGGAGCCTTCACTTCTCACTAGACTGGAAAAAGAGAATTTATGGAGGACGCAGTATTTGGATTAGACTAGTGACACTGAAGGTTTGGTGGTGGAATAGGTAATACAAGGCAGGGTAGCTGACGCTCTGCTTCCCTCTTCCTTTAATGGGAAGACTTAAGGGTGCCCACAGGATAGCATGGAATTCAGTTCACATCCCTACCCCATAGCAGCATGCCTACTCCCGGTCTCCAAAACCCAGCTTACACTGCTTTAGAAGTAATGAGGTGGTGCAACTTGGCATCCTACTTTCACCAAAAAGGGGTAAGCAAAGTTAAAGAGGGAGCTATCTTTCTAGCCCACTTGTCTACAGAAAGCAATGTAAACACTCCAGTTTTGATAAAGCGCTTTAAGAACCAGTGGAAAACTAAACATACACATATTCTGGTGCTAAAGCTATACCTCAAAAGGGAGAGTGTCTACTACAAAAACAGTATTATAAAAGGATCCAGTCTTATAACATGATGTTCAAAATATTACAGGGAAAATAAAAAAATCACTTACCCTAAGACCAGGAAAATTACAATTTAGTAAGAAAAACAAGTAAATATGCCAGCAGCAAGACAATTCAGATGTTGGAATTAACTGATAGGATTTTTGAAGCAACCATAACAAAAATTCTTCAACAAGCACTTGTCATTTCTCTTAAACCTAATTTAAAAATTAGAAAATTTCAAGAAAGAAATGGAAATGAAGTGAAAAATACATGTTGCAACACTGATGAACCTTAAAAACTTATGCTAAATAAAATATGCCATTCTCACATGCAAAACCCACATTCTTTGTGATGCCGTTTATATGAAATTTCTAGAACAGGCAAGTCTAAGGAGCCAGAGAGTAGACCAGTTGTGGTTTCCTGGTCCATGGATCCTATGTATGTTATATCACAGTGTAGCTGAAACTTAAGTATTAAGAAAGGAAGTTATCAAACTAAAAATAGTTTTTCAAAAAACTGGAATGGTACCTAAGATCCTAATGGCATAACTGACAATGTGAAATAGGAAGAAAAGGGCTAAAGGTGTAGAGGGAGTGGGAAGGGTAGGGGAAAGGGAATAAGGGAAAAAAAAATGAGAAAATGAAAAAATAGAAATAAAGTATTTGTAAATGGGGAAGGGAGGAGGGGATGAAGGGAAGGCAGGGGTAATGGGTAAAAATGAAAACTAAGACCTGTCATGTAAAGGTACAAGATCCCAATAATGAATGTAATTGTATTGTATACCTAAAATGTACCAATAAACTCAATGAGAAAATAAAATAAAATAAAAATACAGTAACTGAAATAATATCTAGTTGGTTGGGCTCAACAGTGAAACACAAAGACAGAGAACAGCCAATGACAGTAAGCTGGGAGACAGATCAGCATAATTTACTCAGTCTGAACAACAGGAAGAAAAATGCTGAAAACACAGAACAGAGGCAGTCGCAAAAGGTCCATCATCAGAGTCCAGAAAGATATGTTGAAGAGAGTATTTTAATGAGCATTAATTTAAATGAGTATTTTAAGAGACAGTGGCTGAACACTAAAATGTTTTAACTACTGAAAGAACTGTCAACAACATGTGCATACGATACCCAAAGAGAAATGAAGGGGAAATAAAGACATTCTAAAAAGGAAGTAGAATTGTTGCTAAAATATATATCCTTAAGATTGGCTAACAAGAAATCTTCTAACAGAAAGGGAATGAAAAAAGAAGTAATCCTGGACCATAAGGAAGTGGTAACAAAAAGAAGTAAGAGTACATACAATGAAGTTCTCTTCATGAATTTTCATTTGATTGCTAAAACAAATAATTACAGAAAATAAAAAAAAAGAGATAACATACAGAAAATAAAAAATAAAAGAGATTTAAGCCCTATGATATCAAAAATTACCTTATATATAAATGGCCTAAATAGGTCGATTAGAAGAGAAATATTGGCAGTGGATACAAAAATTTGAGCCAACAATATGCTGTCCATAAGAAACTAACTTGAAACACACAGGAATAGCAGTTAACACATCATTAAAATCTTTTTTGAAGCAAGGTCTCACTATGTTGCTCAGGCTGGCCTTGAACTTGCAATCTCTGTCTCAGCTTCCCAAGTACAGAAGCTAGGATTGCAGGTGACAGTCACTGTGCCCAAAAGCACCTCATTAAAGTTAAAACGTTTGCTCTTTGAAAGACCCTTAAAGAGAATGCAATGGCAAGCTACTAATTGGGAGAAAACATTTTAAGTGACATATTCAAAAAAGAGCTGCAATTCAAATATGTAAGTATCTTTCAAAACTAAACTGCAAAAACAGATTTTTACAGTTAGTAATCTAGAAAATGGACAAAAGGCATGAAAAGACCTTTCACTGGAGATGTGGGCCATCATTAGCCAGTGAAACGTCCAAATGAAAACCACAGGGAGGTATCACCACATAGGCATCGAAATGGCTAAAATAAAAGGTACTGATGATACCTACTATAGCCAAGATGCAGAGAAACTGGGTTGCTGATACTTGCTGGAAGAAATTTAAAACTGTACCACCACTCTAGAAAAGAATGTATCTTTTCTTTCAAAATTAAATATGCACTTACCACATGTAACCCAGAAACTGTACTCCTGGACAGCTATTCGTAGTTCACAGTGAAACCCAGTCATAAATGTTTCATCAGCTTAGTGGTAATTACCAAAAACTAGAACCAACTCCTTCATATCTCTCAATAACTAAAAGAACTCTAGTACATCCACATCATGGAATATTTCCCAGCTATAAGATAAGCTATATTACCCAGCTATAAGGAAAGGAACTACTGATACAAGCAACAACTTGGATGGATCTCAAGTAAATTATCTTCAGTGGGGGAAAAGAAACAATTTTAAAAGGCTACATACTTAACCCTATTTATACAGCATTCTCAAAATGACAAAATTACAGAGATAGAGAACAGAGCAGTGATTCTCAGGGATTGGAACCCTCAAAGAGGAGAGAAGTGGCTAGACTATGAAAGACTAGCCCTGGAATACTAGAAAGACTATTAATACTATGAAGACCAGAATATTATGAAAGGCTAGCCCTGGAATGCAAGTGTGTGGGTACACGAGTGTACCCACGATAAAACTGCATATAATTAAATGTGCACATATGTACACATAAACAATCTGTAAGCTCAAGAAATGAAATCTAAACCAAACTCGCGAATTCTAACTATGTCAACTTGTAAAATTATACAATAGTCACACAAGATATCGCTGTTAGGAGAAATCAGGTAAAGGGTATTCGTAATCTGTATTATTTCTAAAAGCTGCATGTAAACAATATTTCAAAATAAAAGATTAAAACAGCATTTTACATTTCTTCTCGCAAAGTATGATCCACTATATATGAAGAGCTACAATACTGCCCATCATCTGCCTGGGCAATTACAGGTTAGACATTACCAGTCATTGATACACTCAACACCACAGCAGGCACTGGGGTAGGGGATAGTTTCCAAGATCAAAAGAGCAGGCACAAACTCAGTCTTCGTGAACTTCCAGTCTAAGAAATACAAAAATAAATCGGTGCATTAAGAAGATCATTACATCTTCAGTTATATGTGTGAGAAACTGAATTAAATTAAATTTCTGATAGTAAGAAAAGGTTAAGTAATTTTTTCAAATACACATGCTCGTTAATTTGACCATTTAACAAAATGGAAAAAAATGCATACAACATTGAGGGAAACAGTAAATGAATAAATCACATGACTATTGGTATTCTGACAATTAATGACAACTTCATTTACATGAATAAACTTTTTATTTTTAGATAATTAGAAAGAATAAAGAAATGCAAGATAAATGCTTTCTGAACATCTGATAGTATCTTTTCTGTGACAAGGTATTTTCACTTTCTTTATAAAAAGTATAGACATACATTTATTTAAATTTTTACAAAGTCAAGATCAAATGGAAACATAAGTAATGCTAAGGTAAACTCAGATTTCATCAACATAAAAATGGTTGCAATGTTTAGGCTCTGAGTGTGGCCCTTTTGGAAAGATGGTGTGTGCAGCAACTGGTGGTTTCCATTAAGTCAAATAACTGGAAAGGTGTTGGGTGGCCACTCCCCATGAAGACTATGCTTGCAGGAAAAAAAAGGCAAAAACCAAGGTGGGAAAAGGGAGTAAGAGCACCTGAGGGAAGAAAAGGTGCTCATACTGAACCTTGGGTCAATATCTCAAATAGTTCAGGAAATCAATGTGGGAAGGAATCGTTTGTGAGTCAAAGTGTGATTAAGGCGAGAGAGTCACTAACACTAGCACAGCTAGATCTTCATAGCACAAAGTGGAGTGGGGAGCTTGTCAGTGAGTCTGGTGAACTGCACGGCCAGCCAAGCCAGGTAATGAACCATGAAAGGAGTCACTTCGCAGTGGTGTAAAATGATTTGGTCAAAATTGCAAACCTGAGCTGTCAAGTATAGGGCAGATTCTCCCGGGACCACCCTGGGAGACACCCCATTTCCTGTTTTGTCTCTTTTTCAAAAAGAGTTATTAAAAAAACAAAAGCCCATTCCTGCCCTTCCTGTAACAACATACTAACTTCTACCAGTCAAACAAGGAGGATTATCTACTTAGCTACAGAAGGCATTGGGGCTGCCCTCTCGAAGGGCTCCCTGGTAGGGCAGCACAGGAGCCCCAGACGACCACCTCTGGGACACTGCCAGGCGGGGCGAGGGTCCTTCACGCCTGCCTGCCCGCTTCTGCCCTTACCTAGCACTCCTGTGAAGGGCCTCCTCCTGGGCTAAGTGCAATCACTGAACAAGGTGTGAGTCTTTTCTCTCCTAGCCTATGCCTCTCATGTATTTAAAAAAATAATAATAATAGTTTTAAAAAATATATTCCCATGAAATAATGAACAGAAATTGCCATGGATCTGTAAAAGATCCTAGAATAACGCAGGCAGGCAAGAATCTGTCAATATAGCAAAATTCCAAATATGAAATTTATGGTTCAGGAAGATAAATAAATAAACATGGAGGCATTTCTCAACATTTGTTTTCCCCCATTTCTCACGGAATTTTGTTTGCGTAAAAAGTTTTGATTCTATAATAAAAGAGCCAGCCCCCTTGGGATCAGTATTACACACGTACGCCATGAAGCCCTCTACATAATGAGGGAGAAGCAGAACACATCACAGAGTTGGTCACTGTTTTTCCTAAAGACATCTACATTTTGAAATAATTTTATTATTTAACCTTCACCTGGCACTTTAGTCTCAAAAATTATTACATTAGGCATGAATTCAAGAAGGAGCCCAGTGCTATTCTGCTCTTAGATCTTTCTCCTTGGCTTGGCAGATCTTTGAGATGCATCCCAGGACATCTGTGGTGGGCAAACAATTCTTTCCAACAGAGTATTGTAGGCCATGTTACACATCCTGGTGGCCAGGAAGCAGCTCTGCCTTCTTTTTGTGCTTCTGCTAACAGAACGATAAGGAAAGTGTTTCTTTCCCAGCACTTGCCCACCCCAACCTCCCCTTGGATGGAGGCATTCCATTTATTCTTTTCTGCACACAACATCCCCTTGTGTCCTATACCAGGGACCCTGCCCGACTCTGGGCTGGCACCATGACAGGGACTGCACCGATTCGCTCCAGTGTCGCTTGGCTGATGGTGTAGGATGGGGTGGGGGGTGGCCGGGGCTTCCTACTGACTGAGACATTGTTCCTGGGCATGATCTGTGGTGGTGAGCCTCTGTTGGCTGTCACTACCAGCGTCTTATGTGGGCCCGGGGCCAGATGGTTCCCATTGGCATAGATGGATGGGATATTGGCATTGCCTGAGTGAAGGGAGAAAGACTGGCGCAAGTCACTGAAGTGGTTGAATGACTCCATATTCCCATGAACTTTGGGGTTATTGCTCCAGTATCGACTGTTGTAGGTATTGGAAGAGGTCAGCGTGTTGTTCTCAGAGGAGGAAATTTCCGTGTGAAACGCTTTGGCAGAAGAGCATTTAGGTGGAAGATCATCCTCTCTGAAAAGAATCAAATCTTAAGTTGTGATCAGGATCTACTTGCGGTTTCTCCTCCCCTCCTCTCCAAGGCTCTTTCTTTTCACAGTAAGGCTAATGCCTCAAAACACAAATCCTCTGCCATGAGGCAAAGGTAGCAGCCGTGAGTAGCTTCTGCTTTGGCACCCATGTCCTGTGAGACCACTGTCAGAAGGACTTCTCCTCAGCAGCTTGATCCCCAGAAGTAGAACAGAAAACATCAAACTGCTCAAGGAAGGTCTCTTCTAATGTAAATGGAACACATACATATATAAATATGCAACTTGCAAATAAGTATATGTGTCTCTTTTACCTGTAAATAAGAAAACAGTCCATAAAAATCCACTGAATAAGTTGCCATAAAATAGCTAGAAAAAAAAGCTATAGATAATGGGCAACTTCAAGAAATGATTAGTGTTGTCTTGCTTTTACAGCTTTAGGGATTTGACAAATCACTGTGGTATGGATGAAAAGTTTTCTGCTGTGATGTTACTCAGGGATGGAATTTTATCCCTACCTACTACCCAAACTTAAGAATAACGTGAGACTGAAGAAGTTATAAAATTGGATGTTAATTCATTTATTTAAAATTTATTGACTACACGCTACTAAACATTTCGTGCAAAAGAAAAACCACATGTAAGAAGTGCGGATGTGACAGTCAATTCAAGAACATCGGTATCTGAAAAGTCTGGCGAGGGGCTAAAGCTAACTTATGTAAGGAGGGTATGCTGAGATAAATCTTGGATCTCATCAAGGGATTTAGTGAAGAGGTGGATGAAAGGGAAAGGCAAAGAGAAAGCATTAAATTGAGCTAAAGATCCTGAGGCAGAGAAGAATGCAGAATAGACTGGCACAAACAGTGTGCAGGGTGGGAGGTGGAAGAGGAGGAGGGAAGCAGGTGGGGGGGGCAGAAAGGCAGAAGGGCCCCACTGCACGTGTGACTCTGAGGAGATCAGAGTCTCTGTCCCAGAGCATAGTCTCTGATGTGGTGGTGAAATCTGAGAGCCACGCCTGACCTTTCAGACCTCCACAACACTCAAAGACTCACCTTTCCTTAAAGGTCACCCTGACATTGTTTTTCTGGAGGTGTTTATACTCTCTCGTCTGACCTGTCTGCAGTGCTTTTTCTACAATTTGAAGGCTTCCAAGCCTCCTGTGTTGCAATTTGATCCCCACTGGGAAGCCCACTGAGAGTAAAAACTTCATCAGCTCAAAAGTGGGACTGCAGGTGATTAGAGTTAGCTCAGGTCATCCACTTAGAGTGCCATGAATTCTGGGAGAAAACCCATTGCTCTCTGCTGCCTCAAGACTCCTCCAGCAAGGCCATCTCCAGAAAAGGTACCTAGACTTTGCCCCTCTTACAGTTATGAGTCAAAACAACGCTGTTTCATTTACAAAGAAGTCAGCCTCAGGTTTTCTGTCATAACAATATAATTCCCATCAAGCCATCCAGCTGTGTCTACGTAGAGGAACATGGAGCTCTCCTCCTTGTTGTACGTTCTTATTAGAAAGGCTGCACATACTTTAAACTAACTTTTGGATTGGGAGTCACCAAACTCCCAAGATTCTAGAGGTATGAAGGAGCAGGGGAGCTCTGCATTTGCTGCTTCCTAGTTGAGCTTCCTAGTTGGATCTTTCACGACCTACTGAATACAGATGAGCATTACTATGAGGAAAAGCCATGTGACACACAAGAAAATATCATTTGGCCACTTTCATTTCTTTGGCCATCACAGTTATAAAATTAGCAAAGCAACCACAACTGCCAAAATAAATAGAAATATGCCTTGACTATGCAGAGCAAGTAATCTGATATACAAACCTTATTTCATTAGGTATTTCCTCTTCCTCCTCCTCTTTATTTTTGCTTCTCCAGTAAAAGAATGCCCCTAAAATCAGTGCAATGCAAAAAATGATAATAACTGCACCAGTGCCAATGGCTCCAGCTATAAGTCCAATGCTCCTGGGCTGGGCTGCAAAATATATTTAAGGTAGATTAAAGAGAGAAATGTCTTCTACCCACACAGCTATATAAATATATGTAAACCTGCTTATATGTGCAAAACTGCCAACTGTATCACATCTATATGAAGTTAAACCTTGGATAACTTTATCTCCAATTGCAGAACTAACATGCAGTAGGTTTTCAACATCTCCTGAATGAACAAACCATCAAACAACTCTCACAACCTCAGGATGGCAGCAGATGGACCAGTGAGGAAATAGTCGGTGTCTATCTAACTTGCCTGAGCGCCCCAAGTGAGCCCTGGCCCTTGGTGGCATACCTTATAGTCTCACCCCAACCACAGCATTCCCTTCTGTAACTAGAATTCTAATATCCCAGAATTCTCAACAAAGAGAAATTGTCTGCACTATTTATAAGCAGATTCTCAACAAATAGGACATATTAGGGGAAACCCCTAAAAAGGTTTTTGCATAGCTCTAAGATCATTAAAAATTTGTATAATGGCTAGAGCACCAGAAAATAAGACCAGGTTTGAGTCCAATGATCCCAAAGAAAAAGATGTTTTGTCACAAAGACTATAATAATCCTGAGGTATGAAAAGTATACTGAGATCTTTACAAAATATTTTCAACATTGATTAAAACCAAAAGAATTGCTACTGAATCTTTAGATAAACTCTAAACAATTGAGCAGAATCCTTTGTTTTAAAAAGATTCACACCTAGAGTCATCCATACACTTACGTGAAATCACCTGGAGATCCAAAAGACAGGTGCTGGTTCCGATGGCATTGGAAGCCACACACTGGTACAAACCTGAAGACAGAGCACTGATGTTCCGGATGGTGACTGTTCCCTGGACCTGGTCTGTTACAAAATGATCAGTAAGGATTTGATGGGTAAGTAAGAAAACCAATAAAATCAGCAGAGCACTAGACTATAGAAATAAATTAGTATACTAAAGACGTATCTATTCTCCTGTTTTGTGGGGAGGAAGAAATATTTTGTCATGAATGTTAAAGGCTATAACATGTTAAAGACCTGGGATTATTAAGGACTGTCCTTAAAATTTGGTCTGTAGATTAATGCTATATCTTAAATGTTAGTGGCCTTCTGTGAGGCATGGCTGGCTAATCTGTGCTGTAGGGAATTTATAACCAGTAACATAAAATTTTCATTCTAAAGAAATGCAGTAAGGTAAAGGCCAAGTTAGGTTCTATAATAATCTCCACCTTAAACTTGACAGAGAAGAAGTCAACCTTGTGCTCTAAGGTATGAGTTGCTACTCTCTTCCAATAATTATTACAGTTATTGTGTTAGTTCAGATTTTGAAGAAGCAGGTTTCTTAGAAGAAACACCAGTAAAAGAAAGCTAGAAAAGGAGGGAGATCCTAAGACTGTGATGCAGGTCTGACCTCTGAAGGGGAAGGAGAAAGGAAGTCTCATCCAGAAGCACAGTTTTATGGAAATTTCCACCAGACACACAGGAAGTCCTTGAGCCAAAGTATGCACTAAAGGAGCCCCAAAGGCCTTGGCAGCAAAAGGCCTGCCTCAGTAGTCCCACCAAGCCCCAACCCTCACTAGGAGGAGCCTCCAAGGAGCTGGGCCTTGGAAGCACAGATGGACCCAGAGGGAAGCAGCAGGAGACTAGAGCACTTCATTTTCAAGGTCACACAGTGGTATGATCAAGAAATGTTTTCAGTTTCCTTTTTTAATAATTCATCAACCTAAGCATAGTTTGATTATTCCTATAAAATGTAAATGACTTGCAGTAAGAATCGAAGTTGACAATTATGAATGTGTCAAGCGCCAGATAAGCTTTTATATGTATTATACCAATCTTTACAGTGACCTTGTGAGGTATTTTTATTATTAATCCCATTGAACAGATAGAGACTGAAGCTTTAGATGGGTAATAAAATTACAGGGCTGCCCATTAGAAACTGGAACTGGATAAATGGCTGCTTCACCTCTAAACTCTGGTCTTACTGCCTCCCTAGCAGGAAGGATAATGCACATTGTCATCTCAGCCACTCAAGACAGCTGCATATTTACAAATAAGCAGAAAAACCTCCAAATGGCACAGTTAAAACAAAGCTAAACAAACGAACAAAAAAATCTGGCATATACTAGGAGCACACCTGGGGCCACCTTGGAACTGCCCCATTCTAGGTTGTTATCATCATAGGGAACTGAGATTTAGTTATCTGGATTCTGCTGGCAGCTTTCATCTTTATCTAGATCAAAGCCAGAAGCTGAAAGGGGTCAACAAAAACAGATCTGGCCAGAGCGTACATGCCTTTATCAATTCCTTCATTTAATATAAAATGTGTGTTGAGTGCCATCTTTTATGCTGGGTAATTTTTTAAGATGGTGAGACAATGATGACCAGGACTATCCTTAATGAGACAAGAAGGGAGGCAATTATAATAAATGGGCTAAGTGCCAGTCAGGGCTGGAAAATACAGGGTGCTGGAGAGAACACAGGAAGGCCCTGTAATGAGGGCCTGAGAAGTCAGCACAACATGGGGGCAGAGAAAATCAGGGCTCCCGACTGGCCTAAGTGTCTGAGCAAATTCCCTGAAATATCCACCCACAGGTCAGAGCATGCCCTCGGGGCCATCCCCAGCCTAACATCACAGAATGCACTGTGTTCATGAATGACTCAGAATCATTAGACAAATGCTTGAGTTAACCTCAATATACAGGCCAGAAAACGGAGAGATTTTATTTTGTGCTTTTTTTAACAGGAGTACTGAAAGCGTTAAACCCATATTATATGAATCTCGTATATACACACGTGGGGGGTGGTCCAAAGCATGATAATTTTGAACTTTTGAATTGTATTGTGCACATCATAGTCATTGTACTTAATGGTTAACTGATTTGCCTTTGTGCATTAATTTCTCTTCCTTAAAAAAAAGGAGGCCTGTCAGTGTTGGAAGGCCCCACTGGGAGCAGTGGGTTTCTCCTGTCCTGTGTTTTGTTTGATTTTAGACAACGCTCACATGGGCCCCTCCAGCTCCCTGTGTTCTTCAGTCCTGGCAGATACTTCATCCGTTCAGTATAACTGCTTGCTATCTTATCTCATCAAGGTAAGGACTGGGTTTGTCTTAATTATTGTCTCACCGTACTCTGAAATTACCGAGCACGTAGCAAGGTGCTCAAAAAATAAAGATGATCAATCCATCAAAAGTGCTACTTTCTTTTTATTATCTACCACATACACTATACTCAAAGCTTGACAAAGGCCTCATTTAATCTGTATAACAAGGTTAGTTTCATATTCCCTATTTTTCAAAAATGAGAAAGCTCAGAGTAGCTAGGCAATTTTTCCAAGAACACACAGTATTCAAGCAGCAGCACTCTATAAAGTTAGATCTGTCCAAATCCAAAGCTCAAAATTACCATACATACACTTGGCTTTCCAACAGACATTTAAAATGATATAGTTCTATATAGTGAATCTATGGGATATTTTCTAACGACGCAGTGTTCCAATGTTGTTAATACTGCAGACTAAGCCATCTGCCGAACTCCCTCTTCAATACACGTCCCACTGTAATCATGCTAGAAAAACATAATCTTTGGGTAATCAACCCCACAATTCCACATACTATTGTTTTCTTTGATTTTTTTCTTATTCCCTCAAATTCTAAAAATTTGATCAGTTTACACCAGTGATTTTTTTTTTTTTTTTGACGTTTCCAAAGAAAACAGTTTGGGAAAATTTAAATAGCTGTTCTGAGCAGTATTCTTGTATTACAAAGCAGTAAATTCTAGATTTGTGTTAAAATTTTATTCTTTTTTTTCCCCCACACACACTACAGCTTTATTTGGGTGGTGCTTTCCTACAAAATTTTGCACTGTGTTTCACAATTTACACATCTCCCTAATGTCATTTCTTTTTTTTTTTTCGGCTTTAATTGAGTTTATTGGTACATTTTAGGGATACAGTACAGTTACATTCATTGTTGGGATCTTGTACCTCTACAAGGTTTTTTTTGTTGTTTTTTTTTGTTTGTTT